GTAAATTAAAGGTTCACAGCAAAAGGAAAACACGAAGCATTTTGGGAATAGGTAATGTAAGTACACTACACCTAATGCGTTATATATGGAACAAGCATAGACATTAACGAATATTTCTCAATGGACAGGGGCAGTGGGGTAGCCTATTGGTTAAAGCGTTGGCCCGTCACGCCGAAGTCCCGGGTTCGAATCCCGACATGAGTACACTGTGTGAAGCCCATTTCTGGTGTTCCCCACCGTGATGTTGCTGGAATACTGCTAAAAGCGACGTAAAACATCAGTCAGTCACCATCGATGGACAAACTGTCGAGCACAGTGGACAGTGAAGAGTTTGGGGTTAAGAGCACTGGACAGTGGCGAGTATGGGGTTAGGAGCACTGGACAGTGACGAGTAGGGGGCTAAAAGAGCACTGGACAGTGACGAGTGTGGGGTTAAGAGTACTGGACAGTGACGAGTAGGGAGCGTTAAGAGCACTGGACAGTGACGAGTTGGGATTAAGAGCACTGGACATTGATGAGTAGGGAGCGTTAAGAGCACTGGACAGTGACGAGTTAAGAGCACTGGACAGTGACAAGTAGGGGGATAAGAGAACACGATTCAGCGAGCCTGACCACCCAATCCATTAGTCGCCTCTTACAATAAGCTTGGACCAATTCTAATCCGGATCTTCACGGGCCAACATAATGATACACACAATATATCTGCATATATAGACCTAACTACACGAACGTAAAATGTTCTGTTTATGTAAACGCATAAGTATTCTTGGCGGCCTGGTTACATCTTTTGAATATTTTTGTGGGTAGTTGCATCCAGCATCAACACGGTTTTTTTCTGTGCACATGTCCGCTCAGGTTACGTTGATGTTGTTGCAGCTTTGATTTAGCTTCTGTTTCCATGATGAAGTTCAAAACTGAACCAATCGGCTTATATCTGTCCTCCATCAAGGTTCCGTGTATGAAAATGTCACACAGAAGGGAGATTGCAACATAATCCACACATACGGACATAATCCACACCTTTGTTATCTTTGTGATAAGGACGTTGACATCCATAAATTATCTCCCTCATGAATCCTTTGTTTACTATTCCGTTTCTTGTTTTCCGGAAACAGCCGGTGCTCATATAGTACGTTCATAAACACATGCTTCCTACATGGTCAGAACCGCACAATGGACAATGGTTCTTTTCGTTCTATTCATTCTCAGATCAACATGTTTCAACTATATTGCTGCTGCGTGTTGATCATCAGGTCAAACTAAAAGTGGTTATTTTTGGTTTTGTACTGTTGCTGATACAATCGTGTGTGTGTATACTTTCTTGTTTAACATTAATACAGCACAGTCTTGCTTTGTCCATTTTGTTCCTTGTATATTCGTCCTTATAACCTGAAAAACTCGAGGAAATGGACATCCAGTTCGAAAATGTTAAACGATTCACTCTCATATACACCATATCTTGTCAAAAATCATTTCACTGGTTATCAGTTGAATTTTTATTTCTGCTTATTTGATCATGGCATGTCTCAGCATTGGTACTGTAATGAGAAGGTCTTGCATCACTCTGGTTGGCAATTTCTGAAACTTCTGTTGGTTGTCTGCTTTGCCAGCGACGGCTGGCTGCCGTGCACATCTTTGATGCCTAGGAAAACGTTGTTCTATATTTAACAATTGTTCACCTTAGGATGATTGATCCCGCACATGTATCATATCTTCTCCAGAACTCATATCACTGTTATCAAGTTATTCTATTCCTCGTTGCATTATAAACAACTGAGTGAGTAAAATATGGCATTCAATAGATCAACAGTTTATGGTTATGATCCGTTGGTGTCTGTCTTGAATGCAATGTGACTTGGAAATTGGAACGTTTCCCCCACATCAATGTCATGGCCATGCAGAATCGTCAGTGGGTGTGTCTGAGGTCGACAGGGTTATAATACGACAGCCTGTAAAGATACATCCTTTACCAGTCAAACCAATGATTTAAAAAGATAACAATCATCCAGACTGTGGTGGAACTCTAACAGGCAACTCTATCAACCAATTGTGTTGGCTCTTACACAACATGACCATTATGGACAATAGGTGGTGAGGTCATTTGAAAACCATACTCCCTCTTCTAACAATACCTGTTGGTATGGTACTGAGGGCTTCTAGTCTCGGATTTTTCGTGGTGCTGTCTTTATTTTTTGGTTCTCCTTGGTTTGTGAGGTGTGATTCACCCACAAACCCATGGAATGATTGGCATCTTTTTGGTTTTATTTGTGGTTTATTGCCAGCATTTCGGTTGTGTTTCGGGAATTTTTTTTGTCTAGTTGGCTTTTCTTGGTTAGTGATGTATGAAGTATTGGCAGGGTCCCTGTGTTGGTAGGAGAGACTGGGCATTTGTTCACTTGCGTTTGTGATTTCGTGTCTTGTTGATGTATCTTGGTTAGTGATGTATGAAGTATTGACAGAGTCCCTGTGTTGGTAAGAGGGACGGGGGCTTTGTTTACTTGCGTTTGTGCTTTCGTGTCTTGTTGATGTATCTTGGTTAGTGATGTATGAAGTATTGGCAGGGTCCCTGTGTTGGTAGGAGGGACTGGGCATTTGTTCACTTGAATTTGAGCTTTCGTGTCTTGTTGATGTTCTGTTCTGGTCTTGGAGAGGCCTCATGGTCTTATTTGTGCCTTTTTCATCATGGCGTGTCTCAGCGTTGGTACTGTAATGAGAAGGTCTTGGTTCATTAAGGTTATCAATTTCTGAAACTTCTATTGGCTGTCTGCTTTGCTGTGTGAAGACTGTCAGACGAGTATATCTTTGATGGCTCGGGAAACTTTCTTTATTTAACAGTTGTTCACCTTCCATTGTTGTACACCGGTATTCCGGAGGAAGTTTGTTTTGCTTTGAGGGCGTTTGTTTGCTTTGATGTGTGCCTTCTGAAACTGAACGATTGATCGAGTTTGGATTGGTAGTAGTAGATATAATGATAGTCCGAGACCAAGTCCAACAAAAGCCTCTGCAAAGCTTTATTTCACAAATAAAGCTTTTGTCAGGCCCTTAGATCTCGCCCCAGTTTATCTACTACTCTTGAACCCCCAGTTTACTTTCCGGCCCCACGTGGCACAATAGTGTCGCTATGACCATGAACTAGCATTTGACACTATGTCGCGTTGACTTCGATGAAACAATTTAATGTGAATCGCCTATGATCTCTTTGTGTTCGTAATAAAGGCTTGCTGGGCTTCTGTTCTATGTACTTTTTCTCGTCTTCGCTGATAGCAGACTTACGAGACTTGGACCAGATTTCTTGTTTCATCTTACGGTACTTGTCGAGTTCAGAGAGGATTGACCGAAATTCCTCCTCTGAGATCTTACTGTCAGTGAGTGCTGCCGAAATATGCTCTCTTACCGTGTTCAGCTTTGCTTCGGCTAGAATCCTGATCCCGTCGTGTTTCAATGCCTTACGATGCAATCTGCGTGATGCAAACTTGAACACCAACCCTGCCACCCCTACAACCCCAGCTGTTATTTCAATGCCTAGCACTATAGGTGCGGCCACGATGGTGGCTAACAACCCAACACCTGCCGCACCTAGTCCCATGCTGGTTGCCATAAGGGCAGCATCAGTCCCGTCCACGATATTGAAAGCTCTATGGTACTTCTTATATAGTGCTTTCCGCGTGTCGCTGTCTTGTTCTAGTTGGCGTTTTACATCACATAACTGTCTCAACCAGAATCTACAGTTTCCGGGGTCTTCGCGACTTCCTCTACGACTGGGTACAGGCCCATTCTGTGTGCATATTATATATCTTATGAGATATTTTTTAATTGGGCTTCATTTAATGGCTGATCAATGTACTTGAGGCTTATAAGGTCTAGATCCTGTGCAGGGAAATAGGTGAGAGGCTAATAGGTAACTCTGCGACCACACGAACATCATGGAGGCTTATAGAGGTTTATGGCCCGTTGAACCCGTTGATGACCCACGGTGGCGTTGTATGACGATACAGCAACGTTGGTCCCTGGCTAATGAATTCCCAGTATATTGTCACCCGGGTAAAAGTTGATGTTCTATTGTATCACCACCACTGAAGAGCTAGACTTCTATGATGAGTGTGGAGCCTGGTTTCACAGTCATATATGGGAATTGGGAATCGGGGCCGTCAAACCTTAACTCCACATTCCAGAATAACAAATAACATGTTGCTCGTTTATCCGGTGTTAGCTGAGCCTTTCTTTATTATCACCCGAATGCAAACCCCAGGTAAAGATACCGTTGTTCCTAATTTCGGAGATATACCCATCTTTGTTTATCGAGATATAAGGTGCGGTGAGGGTCATGTTGATCAACCATTTGGGTTCTTTAAAGTCTGCCAGGGACTGCCGCCGTATGTACGCCATCTCTTAAGAGCAGGATGTACGAGCCGTCGTCCTCACCAGGCAGATCGAATCCCTCCGTGTCTCCTAGACCCCGAGTGTGATTTTGGGTAGATGATCGGCCATTGCCGCCCGCCTATACACGTTGTCTTTCAAGTGTAGGACGTACAGGTGTCTTCCTCGCCGGGCAGATCAAATGCCTCCGTGTCTCCTAGATCGTTAAGTGTGGCGTTGGGTGATGATTGGCCATTGCTATAATACTATTACGATATATAGTTTCCAATTGTTTTCTGATAATTTCTCAGGGTGCACTTCACCCCCATGAAGTGTATGTTGTCGGGTAGGAAGATCTTGGTGAGTGATATCGTGTCTTCCACGGTCACGGTGACCCCCTGCAGACTGGTGTGGGAGTCGACACCCACCCGCACGTAAACAGTGCAAACCTGATACTGGTGCCGTTTCACCCACCGGAGTTTGACCCCCTTCACGATTTCGACTTCATCCGGCGATGGTTCCCCTAGGTAGACTTTGATGACCAGCGTGGAGTTCGCCGGTAGGCTCGCCAGGATGTTGACCACGCCTTCGAATTCAGACACCAACTGCAATGCCCCGTCTTGCACTCCCGGTTTACTCGATAGCATGTGGGCTGCCATACTGGCGACTGGGCTGATGATTACACTACGTCTCTGCGCCGGGACGTAAGCCACGAGCAGGGTTCCGTTGTTCACGACTTTGTTTAGGTAGTTGTCTTTGTTCTCCGTGAACACGTAGGGGGAGCCGAGCCTAATATTGAGAAACCAGTCGCCTTTAGCGGGTAACAACACCCACTTGTCATCGTCGGTGAAGACGAGCATATATGGCTTGTTTCGGGCGACGGTCGTTCTCTCAACATCTTCTATGTCGAACAGTTTGCCTCCGAACGATGGGTATACCATCCATTTATCATCACCGGTGCGGACTAGGGTGTACCGAGTGTTGACGGTCGCTCCTGAGGTATCTACTATATCACCTAGGGTTCCACCGGAGGGGACTTCAACGCGTTTGTAAATGTTGTTTTTCAGTTGCAAGGCATACAATTTACCATCTACTCCGGGGTCGTCGAATCCGCGTGTGTCCCCGAGGTTGGAGATCCCCGCATTGATGCATTTTTTCAACCTCATTCCAGGGCCTTGTGCGCTAGTCATTTTATGTGCAGCGTTATGCTGAGGTATCCTATATTCACAGGATTATGATTTATATCTAACACCGATATTATCAGCTCAGGGATGTTGCCCCGAGTTAACCTCTTATACTGCCGCGGTGAAAACGACTCGGTTCTACCGTCGTTGTATTTCTCCGTTTTCACCGGTACGGCTCTCAGTATCGTGGAAGGGTGACCACCTTGAATGTTGTCCGTTGTGCTCAACTGGCCGAGATGAATGCACAGCTCTCGGTACGGTACTAGGTCGGGTAACTTCGTGCCTGTGACGGTAGTTGTTGGTTTTATCTCGTCAGGCGGCATCCCGAGTGTCCTCGCCAATGGCCGGCCGAGCCTCAAGGGGTTTATTCCGTTGTTGATTAACACCACTGTGCCGTTTGAGTCGTTCATCTTGAGTTCGGCTCCCAAGGGTTTGAAGACCTCATCGCTTAGCGAGCACACGCTGTAGTAGCCGTCAGTTATCTGGTTGCGGGCGCCACTGACGAACAGCTTGTTGTTGTTGGCGTTGATGTTAGTCCATCGCGGTAGGTAGGTGATATCGCAGAGTGCGACTTCGAGTTGGCCCGACGTGTTATCGATCGCGTGCATCAGCTGAACGGACTCGCCGCTCGTTATTCCTGGAAGTGTTACGTACATGTTAGAGTATATATACCCATTATATAATACTTTAAAAATGTACAAACCAGGAGTGTTTTACCCTAAACTGGACATAGATTTCCCACACATGAAGATTGTGGTCGACGCTGCTGGGCTGTATTTCAGCGCCCAGTTTATAGATGTGTTCGACCGGTATAAGCTTTCGGTGACTAACGCCAAGGCAGTCCACGCTTGGTTCAACAACCCGATGCAGTTCTGGCAGAATCAACTCAACTTCGCCGTGTGGTGCGCTACAACGGGGTGTGGCTTGACATTGACCGACACTTGGCGGGGACCGCTGAGTAGGTCTGTGTTCACGTTTCACGTGTACTACCAGGTCAGACGTATCCTCAAAGAGATCAGCGCCCCACTTCCACAGGACAATCCACACGATCGGCGTGCTTACGAACGGATTTGTGGTGAATTCGGAATCGATCCTAAAACGGATTGGCGTATACCAGGAGGAGTGAACCATGGGTTGGGTATTCCGTACAGTGTTGGGCTCTCCGTAAAAGCATTACGAAAAGATACAGTGGTAAACTTTATGAAGCACAATATGTTTAGTACGGGTAATTTCTTCCATGCATTCTCCAACCTCGTTCCTAAACCCATACACAGTGGATCAAAACCGGTGAAAGAAGCCAGCGATGATCTACTGAAACAAGGTTTACTTCGGCCAGAATTTACTCTGTCGAGTAACTAATGGCGAGATGATCATATGGACTTTACAGGCGACGTTGGTTTCACCATCAAAAGGGTCGAGCAACCCCCCTACGTTGAAGACAATTGGAAAATATATATGCTGGACACGTCGAAAGGGTTTACTCGTGCCGGCACCGAACGCTTGAACGACTCGATTCGAACGTACGTGTGGGCGCTGTTGGGTGCGCAGACACAAACGCGTTCCAACATCCTCGGTAAGGGGACTGCTTACGACGTGCAGAAACAGTTCGTTGCTAACGTCGAGGATGCTATCAATGCTCCAGTTGATCTCCCGACTGCTATCCGACGCTACCAAGACGTGTTTGAATACGCCCAGTCGAAAGTCGACTACGTCTTCGATGTGGGATTGTACATGGCTCCGAGTGATATGCAACTGAGAGTAAAAAAAGTGTTGGGCTACAAACAACGAAATAGTCAAAGCCACGGCCGACAAGAAGTTTGGTGTTAATGTAGGCTTCAATGTGAGTCATGTCCCACCTCCCACGGGTGAAACGGGTATAGTCGTACCACCCCCGGAGCCCAGGGTTCAACCAACACCCCCACAACCCCAACCCCCACACGTGCAGGCGTCCAATCAACAGCACATCGACTGTAAAACAGCGCTGGTGGTTGGCGGGGTCGCGGCCGGATTGGGGCTCATTTGGTTAAAAATTCCTTAGCTGCTACGTACACCAGACCCACCACGGCGACGATGGCTGCCCACAGGTTTTGACCGAGCCACGTGACAGTTTTAGCCAGCGTGCTGAGCAGCCACGAGACGATGCTACCCAGGATGCCGGGCAGGGCTTCGGCGGCCTTACCAGCGAGTTTAGCCAGGGCCTCCCCGAGGGATTTCAGGTGTTTTTTTATCCAGTCTCTGACGCCCCCACCACTTGGTGGTGTTGGTGGGGTGGGTGTGGGGGTACCCCCTGTCAATGACAAGACTAGGGTTGATATGATGAAGCCCAATGCAGTCAGAATGCTGGCGATAGTAATCCCTTGCTCTCGGAAGAGGATTCGGATCCTGTTGGCCAACGTGGTGTCCTCATTTAGGACTCGATTGATGGTTTCCCGTACACGACTGATCTGGGATCGGAGGGCTTCCCGGTTCGAGGAAGCGGATTCCAACCGAGTCCGTCTCTCATCTTCCAAGTTTTTTATTCTCTCCTCGATACGACGTTTCATATCATCGTCCTCCGTTTCGGTGAGTTTTATTTTCTCGCGAGCGATGTGCTCGTCGACTTCATTCAGTTTCCCCATGTTGTTCACGAGTTCTCCGCGTACACGTTTCAAGGCTTCGTCTAGGCCTCGCAGTTCCCTCAGGGTAAATTCGAGACCAGGCAAGGGGTTGGCATGGCATGTGGCCAATATTTTTTCAGGACTGTCTGATGTTTCTTTAGCACGTTGGGGCATATCACCTTCACCGCTGAGTTCGGCCCTGGCTGCTTGCAGATCTTGGACGACCTTCGGGGGAAGCTTAGGCCGTGCGCCACCGTAATCTATGAAGCCTAGTTCATCACGGATCAGTTGACTCCCACCAGGGCGACTGGTGAGTGTTGACAAAGCATACGGTCCTTTCCCGTCTTTTTTCATGATATCGACCCCCGGGTGAGCCTTCAATCGCAGCGTGCCCTTCTTATCGATGGTAAACTTGGCATAGTCTCGTACCAACGGCTTGATGTTGTCTCTCTTTTTCAACTGCGGCGTGATAATCGTCGACGGCCGGCTGTATAAGTTCAGCACTTAAGGGGTTGTTCGTGAATGTGGTGTCATCCTCCCCGAACGTCTGGGCACTATCATCCCACATATCATCCATCGGGATGTCCTCATGACCGCCTTCAGCCATTATATATATTAAACTTTTATATTTTATCTATATAACAATGTATGGTAGGAAACTAGATCCTTTCCGAAGATCAAGAGAGCCTCTAGGCGTCAGAGCCGTGCGCCAGTCGGTGACCATCACCAACAATCCCAGCAAGATAGACCAGAACCAAACGCTGCTGGTTAGATTCCCAAACCTGGGTGAGAATGACCTCATCGTACCAGGCACGGTTCGACTGACGTTCAACCTCACGTTGACCTCCGACAACGACAAACGCGAGCTAGTGCGGAACGTAGGTCGAGCCATCATCAAGAAAACCACCATCAAGATCAGCGGTAACGAGGTGCTGAGCATCGACGACAGCGACGTGTTTCACTGCTACGGGGACCTCTGGAAAAGCGAGGGAGAACGCGTCAATGACGTGTACCAAGGTATCAGCAAATCGACTCGGTTGCGCGTGGGGTACGGCTTCACGGCAGACCAGCTAGACAAGATCTCGGACGGTGAAAAGGCCATCGCCCAAGCGTACGGGAACAGGTTCTGCGTGCCGCTCGACTTCGAGTTGCTCACGGGACACGCGCCGTTTTACCAGGTAGTACTGGGTGATAGGCTTGAATACGAGCTCAAGTTTGACGACAACATCAAAGTTGTGCGTACGCCGAGTGGTGATGAAGCCAGTTACACCATCCGCAACATCTCTCAGGAGTTCGACATGGCCACTAGCCCGGAGCTGGCCAGGCATGTTCGAAACCAGTATTCGGGGAAGGTGGCCATCCTGTACGACAGCATACTGAGGCATAGATCGGTCGTGGGGGATAAGAGCGACACTGTGTGGAATATCAATCTGAACATGCCGGTGCCATCGATGAAAGGTATCCTGATCGTCCCCGTGGAGGATTACGAGCCATTCGGACGAGCTGTCCGAAGGGACAGCGAGAAGTTTTTCAACCCCGAGATTGAAAAGCTGGAAGTGATCATCGAAGGCGTGCCCAACCAGCTGTTCAGTCATGGTATGAGGGCATACCAGCAGTGGGATGAGAAAAAAAAAAGCTACCGGCTATCAAACAACACCCACACATAACCAAAGACCATGACCTATCCTCCGTGCAGATCGGCAAATACCTGACCACCAAGTACACGCTATGGTTGGACATGCGATCCACGGATGATGATAAATTGCAAGACAGCGGTTGCCGCATTGATAATGGCAGCGAGTGGATAACCATCCAAGTCACCAAGAAGGCTCAACCCGCGGGCAAGTTGAAATTATATCTGTACATTATTATGGACGCGCAACTTAATATAGAGAATGGGAGATTCGTGCAAGCCATCTACTGATTTGCCTGGCGGCAAGACATCTACTGATGGCAGTAGTCCACTGCCTGCTGGAGGCAAGCCTTCTATTGATCTACCCCGCGACCCGCACTGCGCCATAGTGGGCGGACAGACTGGTTGTGGGAAGACCGTTTTCGTGCTGGATATGTTGGAGGGGTACTACCGGGATGTGTTCGATGACATCGTTATCATGTGCCATACTTTGCACATGAATAGAACGTACACAGAAAGACCTACGGCGATGACGGACCCGGACGTACACAAAGTCGACCCAGGAACACGTCTGCAGGACTGGTTGAAGGCTTATCACAACAAATTTAAAGGGGAGTCGACGCTGTTCATACTTGACGACTACAGCGCTAATCGTGAGATATCAAAAAAAGAGAGACATGCTATCGTACCTGGCCTTCTCCGACCGGAACGCAAAGCACAGTGTCTGGGTGCTAACGCAGAAGTTCAACTCGGTGTTGAAAGACCTCAGGGAGCAGACACGATGGGTGCAAGGACAGGGATTCGTTCGAGGAGTGTTTGAGAGAGAACGATGTCATGAATAAACATGATAAGGAATCAGTGAAGAAACAGCTCGCTGAAACTAAACATGCTAAGCTCGTGCTCAAGACTGACCAACCAGTGGCCTATAGGGTGTTTTAGCTTAGCAATGCTTAGCAAAGCTTAGCAAAGCTGGGCAAAGCTGGGCAAAGCTTAGCAAAGCTTAGCAAAGCTTAGCAATTAATTGTTACAGTTCTATACGGTGGTTGTTTTTTGAAGTGCTAGTCGTGTGCAACTTAACCTTCATTTCGCTGTGTTTCACCTGTATCGGGTATTATATTATTAAAACTAAAACTTGCTTATAACATTATGAGATGGAGTGTGATGAATTGCTAGAACAACTGTTGGTGCCACAGGATCAACTGTCGCCACAGGTGACTGACGACAAGCGAGAGAGACTGATGGCACTGGCAGTCGGTGCTAAAGCCAAACAATATTTCGGGGACTACACTCCTGATAAAATTCACAAATTGTCAGCCGAAGAAATTGATAAGCTGTACGCGAGATACGAGGTTAGACTTGGGGACGAGATGACAAAGACTATAGGATCGGCTCTGACCCAGATCTACACTGGTATAGCGTCGTACTTCCTTCCCATTCCCCAGGAACACTGACTTTACCTGTGGGAGGACCTTGAGAAAGACCTATTTATTGAACATGCCTTGAGCTCTATCAGCTGTGTGCTGTACCACAAATATGGTATGAGCTCTATCAGCTGTTTTTAGCCCCGGTGACGGCGGCGATTATCACATCAAAGCATTGCCAATTTAAGGAGGGGAAAAATAATAATAATAGTATACAAGATGGATGCTGCCCAAGAAATGACACAGGATGTGAACGAGGGAGAACCCTAAGAGAGTAGCTGCCAGTAAAAATAGGTGGTCTGACCAACATACAGTCACCAGGCAGAAGAACCCTAAGAGAGTAGCTGCCAGTAAAAAAAGGTGGTCTGACCAACATAAGAGTAACTACGCTCCACTGTGGAGCCGGGCTCCACTTCTGTGGATTGCAGGCGCAACTGCTGCCGTGGCTATCTCATGGTTATATAATAAACAACCACCCAGGGAGCCCGGGAGGAGCCCCCACAATTCGAGGTCATCCCACATACAGTAGAACACGGATATAATGAACTCCAAGGGACAAAGAAATTTAGTTCACTATATCCGTTGTTCGTTATTCACATTTGACCGCCATCTTGGATTGTAGAGATGTAGACATTCACAGACATTACCTATATCATGTTGATAAATATGAAGTTTATTTTTATAATAAAATTGAAATAATATAGCTACAACTTAAATATATTTATTTTTTAATGAAAATGCAAGCTTACATTTGGATGGATACCGTCCTCGTCAACGAAAACTTTCGTTTTACATAACGTTGTGGCCGATCATTCGGCCTACGGTGTTGAATGGGTTAAACACGATATGTTTGTTTTGTTAATTAATTAATGACCATCAAACAATGTTGATTCACCGCAAACAAGATTGATGTATACTGTACCGCTAAGGGACTGAGCTGACACTGAGTGAGTTCGCTAATCACGTCGTTAATTGGGGCTTGGGGGTCGTAAATCAGTACGCTATATTTTTATATCATATACATAATGTCTGAGGGGAAAACGTTCGTCAACGATGCATACCACGCCACCGTGGTCGCCAGTCTAGCCATAGGGTACGCTCGGTTGACCAAAATGGTGCTTAAACAACCGACTATCAAGCTAGATTTCAACCTGCAGGATATGGGTATGCTCATAATGAACCTGGGTATGGCGATGGCCACCAAGGACATCCTAGTAAAACAAGGGATCCTACCGAAAATATTTTGAAGTAAATGTAACTATATATAGGATGGCTACGATCGCCATGATGGTCGGCGGGGCGTTAGTAAACGCCCTGGCATTTTCCGGGAGTAATTTCCTCTTCTCGAACTACTACGGGAGTCGAACGGGCTGAGATACAAGCTGAACGAAAGCGCGACGACCTGGCCATGGAACGATTACAAGCAGCGCAATTCGAGTACGCGAAGAAACGTGTACAGAGGATCGATTACATTAACGAACAACTCAGGCGTGAGAACCATGCCGTTAAAACATTCCATGATGTCGACGACGCAGCGAGAGAATACTACCTACTAACCGGTAAACAGCTAGAACCACTCCCTCCTAAGCCCACACTCGCTCAGTACTACACACCATCCCCGGGGCAAAAGGACCGAGAACTGATCTTTATCGCGCTGGGTCTAGCAGCGACTGCGTTGGTTGTAAAACAATTAGACTAAGTACTCATATAAGTATACCAAAGATGAGACCTGCCCCGTACCGATGCCAGTACATACTTAGGGGGAAGACCGAGACCTGTGGTAGGAAATGTAGGATGGAGGGGTATTGCTGTTTTCATAGAATATGTTTTGTGAACTACACGTGTTCAGTGTGCGATATTGGAGTGAGATGTCACTACTGTTTATGTAAAGACTACGGGGCAAACGTAGTCAGGCACCAGCTTATCTACGAGAAGAAAAAAGACTACATAAACGAATGTAGACGCCTCCTTAGCATGGAGGTGTAGTGACCCAATTAGAGACTGTGTACACTTAGGTATAATGATGTTCGTGGAAGTTGAGCCCAGGGAAAGTCGTTGCCTGAGAAGCTGGCAGATGGATATAGGTAGAAGTATAGATATCAGTGTCCTCAGGCCTATTATTGTTGGTGAACTCTATAAGGCACTGGAGGAGGAGGGCTTCGCAGTTTCAATCATGGTGAAAGCAGGGACTTGTAATTACTTTGATGGTGGGAAAGGAGATGTGTATCAACTCGGGGATATAAAGGAGTTTGTTGACACCTCGTTGGAAATAATACAAAACACCCTCGCATGTTCCGGGGAGGGTATAATCGATGAGGTCTATCTAGATATTTACTGAAGGATTTTATGGGCGCCTTATTATTTTTTTGAGGGTTGGAGGAGTTACCTCCCTTGCCGGTGGCCCAATTAGAGATTGTATACGCTTTGGTATAACAATGTCTACTACTCGGGAGCTCAAGCAGATCGCCAGAGAGCGAGGTGTAATTGGTTACTCTCGAATGAGCAAACCAGCGTTGTTGAGATTACTTAACATACAACCCCCTCCCACGGTAAAACAACTAAAACTCCGAGCAAAAGAGCTAGGGTTGACGGGTTATTCCCGCCTGGGGAGAGCCGGGTTAGTCGCATTATTATTACACGACCCCGTAGCAAAGCCCCACACTGTGAAACAACTCAAACAGGAGGCCCGCGAGATGGGGTTAGTAGGTTATTCCCGTATGAGGAAGCCACAGCTTGTAGAACTATTACGGCAGAATAGAGCTATTGACCTAGAGTTCATGCGCACTGAGCGCGCTGTAGGTAACTATTTGAGAGGCTGGCGCATGCATGTTGATAGGAACATAGACATCGCCGATATCAAGCCTCTAATCGCTGATAAAGTCAATGAGGAACTAAACGATTTGGGAAGTATAAAGTTTCAAATCACAGTGAAAATGTCACTCGATAAACAGCAGAATGTGGGGGCTGGGGTCATTGAGTACGTTCAGCCTTACTTCCGAGGTAAACAAGAAGTCGTGACTCATACCGAGACTATAGACGAGTCAATCGATATCAGTTTTCAGCAGATACGAGAATACCTAGAACGCTACACACACATGGGTTCCGGGTGGGTCGTGGATAAAATCGATAATGTCTATCTAGACATAGCTAACTACGTGCCATTCAGAGGCGGGTCGTACCTAGACTTGCCCCCCTACTACAAAGCAAAACAGGCCATGGTCAACGTCAAGAATAGAGGAGACGATTGCCTGAGGGTAGCTACCAGGTCAGCCTTGTTTCCAGCTGACACTCATTCGGACAGGCTTTCTAGCTATCCCCAAGACGATGGGCTCAACTGGGATGGTATAGATGAACCCACCCCCATATCCCAGATCACTAAAATAGAAAAACAGAATAATATAGCTTATAACGTCTTAGGACACGAAGGCAACAAAACAATCGTGCACAAGATCAGTCCAATGTTGGGGGAGGAGGGTCGCCGCGTTATCAATATATTCATGATCCAGCGAGGTGATAAGTATCACTACACGTGGATAAAACACCTCAGCAGGCTGTTGCACGACCAGTCGAAATACGATGGGAAAAAACACTTTTGTGTACGATGCCTGCACGGTTTCAGCCGACCCTGACTTATTGGAATCCCACCGGGAGGATTGCCAAGGTGTGGGGCAGACGGCCATACGAGTCGACATGCCTAAGGAAGGTGACAATATCTTAAAATTCGACAACCACAAGAATCAGATGTCCGTGCCTTATGTCATCTACGCCGACTTCGAAGCCTTGGTCAAACCCGTTGATGCTGGGGGTACCCCCAACACACAAAAAACACAGGAGCACGAGGCCTGTGGGTTTGGATACGTGGTCGTCCGATGTGATGGGGAAACGAAAGCTCCCGTAGTGTACAGGGGTCCCGACGCGGCTGAAAAGTTTCTAAAGTGTTTGCAGGAGGAAGAGAAAAGTATTAGGAATGCACTATACACAGTCGCTCCCATGCGTATGACTCAAGCCGACCGGCTAGCTCACGGCTGCAGCACTCACTGCCATGTGTGATAGCCCACTGAACGGTGATTCGGTGAGAGATCACTGCCACGTCACCGGTAAGTATAGAGGCGCCGCTCACAGCGCGTGCAACCTCAAGCTTAGAATCACCCCAAGACAATAAACATCCCCGTGGTCTTCCACAACTTGAGAGGGTACGACTCTCACTTGATCATGCAGGCCATCGCGAAAGTCGACGGCAACCTGACGTGCATCCCCAACAACATGGAGAGATACATCTCCTTCAGCTTGAATGGCCTGAGGTTCATCGACTCGGTTCAGTTCCTCCTGTCGTCACTCGACAGTCTGGTCAAGGCCAACGATACCTTCCCCATCACCGATCGATACACCGACGCCGAGACTCGACCCCTGCTGATGAGGAAGGGTGTGTACCCCTACGAGTACATGGATGGCTGGGCCAAGTTCGCCGAGACCCGACTACCCCCCATCAGAGAATTTTACAGCAACCTGACCGACTCGACAATCACCCAAGACGATTACTCGCACGCGATTAACGTATGGAATAAACTGGGCTGTAAGAATCTGGGTGACTACCACGACCTGTACTTGAGGACAGATGTACTCCTGCTAGCCGACGTGTTTGAGACGTTTAGGAGGACGTGTTTTAAGCAGTATCAACTCGACCCCGCATGGTACTACACCAGCCCAGGTCTGTCGTGGGATGCATTGCTGAAAAAGACCGGAGTTAAGTTGGAATTGCTCACCGATTACGACATGCACCTATTCATTGAGAAAGGCTTGCGAGGTGGGATTTCCATGGCTACCAAACGATACGCGAAAGCAAATAATCAATACGTGAAGGGCTACGACCCGAGCAAGCCAACCAATCATATTCTCTACCTCGACGCCAACAACCTGTACGGCTGGGCCATGAGCCAGTATCTACCCACAGGGGGATTCGAATGGGCATCGCACGAGATCGATGTTATGAGCATCGCGCCGGATTCGAACAAAGGCTATATCCTCGAGGTGGACTTGGAATACCCCAAGGCATTACACACATCACACAACAGCTACCCCCTGGCCCCCGAACGTATGAGGGTTAACCCAGACTGGATGTCTGAGTACCAACATAACTTGTTAGGTGGGCGGGTGGCAGACGTTGAAAAACTAGTGCCCAACTTAATGAATAAGACCAAGTACATCGTTCACTATCGCAACCTACAGCTGTACCTGTCGTTGGGTATGAGGCTGACCAAAATACACAGGGTGCTCGTGTTCAACCAGAGCCCCTGGATGGAGCCCTACATCAGAATGAACACAGACCTGCGAAAGCTGGCCACCAGTGACTTTGAGAAAACCTCTACAAGCTCATGAACAACTCGGTGTTTGGTAAGACTATGGAGAACCTGAGGAAACGCGTGACCGTGAAGCTGGTTCGGTCGAATGAGGAAGACAAGCTCAGGAGACTGATAGCCAGCCCGGCATTCAACCGGAGCAAGATATTCACCGACGACCTGGTTGCCCTACACATGAAGAAAAGCCACATCAAATTCAACCGGCCTGTTTACGTGGGGATGAGCATCCTCGATTTATCCAAACACCTGATGTACGACTTTTACTACAACGAACTGAAGAAACAGTACGGCGACAGGTGTGAAGTGCTGTACACTGACACGGATTCCCTGCTGATGGAGATTCGAACCGAGGACGTGTACGAGGACATGAAGAAACGCCTCGATTTGTACGACACCAGCGACTACCCCAAGGACCATGCCATACACAGCACGGTAAATAAAAAGGTCCTAGGTAAGATGAAGGACGAGTGTGCTGGCACGCCCATAGCCGAGTACATAGGCTTGAGACCCAAGATGTACTCCATCCTGAAGGCCGACAATGGTGAGATCCGAAAGGCGAAGGGTGTTAAGAAGTACGTGGTGAAACAACACATCAAACACGCCAGATTCAAGGAAGCCCTGTTCAAGACCCGTACCTTCAGGCATAAAATGAACACGCTTAGAAGTGATGGGCATAGGATATACGGACTGACGATAAACAAGACGTCCCTGTCGCCGATGGACACTAAGCGTTGGATAGCTATTGATGGGATCAACACGTACGCGTACGGGCATGAGAAAATTGAACCAAGAACATAGGTGTATATATATATACGATACCATGTCACGGAACCAGAGAAAGTTTGAGGCTATTTACTACAGCCCGCGTGGGTACTGGAAAGGAGCTAGCGCCGTACATAAGCTGGCTAAAATGGCGCGAGTACCCCCAAACGAGGCCAAAGCGTGGCTTGAAAAACAAGCCCTGTGGCAGATCTATTTACCGGCACCACGCTACGTGCCTAGAAGGAAGTTCGGTATTAACATACCCAATAGCGTTCACCAGGCCGACCTCCTATTCCTACCCCACGACAAGAGGTACAAGTATGCCCTAACCGTCGTGGACGTGGCCAGTCGCTACAAGGAAGCCGAACCCTTGACCGCGAAAGACTCGGCCCAGGTAGCCCGCGGATTCGAACGCATGTACAAACGCAGTCCGCTGACGTGGCCCACAGAGCTGCAAGTCGACCCCGGGCGGGAGTTCATGGGTGCCGTGTCACACCTGCTAGACAAACACGATACCAAGGTCAGGCGTGGCACGGCCGGAGCCCATCGCAGCCAAGCCATAGTTGAGAGATTCAATAGGACTTTGGCTGAGCGCTTATTCGGGCATCAGTATGCGAGAGAGATGGCCAACCCGGGGAAACGATCGACTGAATGGGTAGCGCGGCTACCTCAGGTGGTGTCGGCCATCAACCACGAAACCACTCGGCTCACTGGCAAGAAACCAGCCGACGCTATCAAACTAAAATCAATAGTGGCAGAGTCGGCTGCACCATTGCGTGGGAAGGAGAAACAGATACCAGATAGGGCCCCGTGAGGTACCTCTACCAGCCGGGGGAACACGAAGGGGATAGTCGTAAACGAGCCACCGATCCGATATGGTCAGTCAAAACTTACAACATAGATAAAGTGGACATCAAAGCCGACGAGCCGAACTTGTACTACTTGAGAGATGGGCCAGGGAGAGAGAGGAATTTGATCGTTAGAGAGGAATTATTGATCATACCGTACGGTACAATGTTACCTCCTGTCAACACGTCATAGCGCTTCACGCACATTAGTTGTGCCTTTGTGGACTTGGTCTCGGGAAGTTAACTGGGGTGAACAAATTCAAAAGTAGTATGAACGCCCTTGACTGGTAAGATGGTATTGTGTGTTGACATAATAATAGCTTATATAGACGAATTTTTAATTCCTAATCATAATTCATGAAATTCAAAATTCACAATGGTAGACCGATTAGCATGTATCATACCCAATTAGAAAACGATTGTACTTGGACTTTTTTAGTTAAGTGACCAAACACCACCACGAAATTATGCCAGATTATAGATGTGTACATACAGGTTTAACCTGTGAGTATCAAGTTGAGCTAGTTCCATGGTAATAGGAGTAGAGTAAATTGAATACCCACCCTAAAAACTTCGGTGTCGGTGGCCTAGACACTGCGTCAGCTGCAACATTGGGTTCTGTCAAAATGTTACATGTGTAAAGAATGATGAGCCACTGACAGTCAGTTCTCACAGAAAGCTTAATGTCATTCATAATAAAATTTATGTTCTAACATACATGAATGCTTATTATAAGAATGTTCACAGTTGCCACAGCAAAAAATCGGCACGTTTCTCCATAAAGTAATCATAAAATGCTCATAAAAAGCAGTACGTATTTGCCTAAATATGTCACAATCTTTATTGGATTTAAATGAGGCATAGATTGAATTGAACATCC